AATAATAAACTTTCACAAATATAAAATAAGGTTGAAAGAAGATCAAAGGATCTTGTCGACAAAAATAAGTTCAAACAAGCATTAACAAAAGTAACAGTGTTAAATTTCTTCAAATTTCCTAAGTATATATTATATAATCCAAAGAGAGATCACGGGTCTACTCACCAATATTTTATATAATTAAAAATTTTATATAGTTAAAAAATTAGGGTTTTTAATTTACTTTTAAAAAAACGAAAAGTAATGGGTAGTTCGAAGTCAAAGTCGGGCAGAACAATTTTGTTCCAAAGGTGTGGTGCCCGATAGGCAATACAAATGATTGAAGTTCGTTTGACAGAAAGGTTCATTTTTATTAGTATTAAATTAGTATTTCTCAAATTGTCTTTGTTTCAGGGTTTTGGAGTAAAAATATCTTTGATTGAGACAAGTCATTTTTACACATGTATACAAAGCATAAAACATTATATATATTTAGCTCGTATATATATTTAAAACTTTCATTTCAATAAAATAATGTTTTACGTGAGAAAAGCGATTTGCAAAGCAGATTAAACGGATAGCATGTTTCTTACGGCGATAAAGATGTAACAACTTACTTTTTTCTGTACTACCCCAGGCAATATTAGCATAATTTAAATAACTGTGTATAAACGAATAATAAAGTTTGATTAAAATTTTCTTATTGAGGTAGATTCATGCTTTATATAAAACTCCTATGTTTTTTGAAATTTTAGTGCTTATATAGTCGATATGATGATTCCAAGTGATGTTTTCATCAACGTAAACACCAAAAAATTTTGTTACGGAATCCCTTTTTATTTCAATTTGATCAATAAAAATTTTAGGTAAGTTTAATAAATAGTCCACCTCGTGACGAGAGAGAAAGATAAGGATTATTTTCAAGATCAATGTCTCCACCTTTCAAACATGCTTTGCAATTTTCACATTTAGACCTTTTTGACAATTTTTTTGCAACATAGCCTGCTATAGTTATTACCACTTCTTGACTATTATAATCAAGGAAACTTTCCATAATTTCTTCTATTCAATTTTCAAACAGTTCATCAAGTATTGTCAAGGAAGGATGAATACCTGATATTAGATTTTCTTCCCAGAAGTTTATATGTTCCTTAATTAAAGAATGACATAGCAAAATTCTTTCTGAATTTTAAACTTCTCTTAAACTTACAAGAAATCTTTCCCCACTCATATGCCTGTATTGTGAGAAACCTCTCTCAATTGGATCACTTTATAAACTAGCTGTCATCACGTAATTCCCACCCATCATTCAGGAGCTCCTTAACAAGCAGTGTTTGAGCACGTAAGGTATTTACAAATGCTGATGCAGTTTGAGTTGTGAGGGTGAATACAGGTGAAAGAGACTACTAATTAATCCAATCAGCCAGAGATTGGTAAAAAATCATTTTATTGTCTCCTAATACAATAGCATTTCTAATAATATTTGGTGAAAACCTTTGTTTAGAATTAGCAATAGTCCGCCAAGTGTTAAAATCTTTTCGATTTATATAGTAGCTTTTTGAAGCTGCAATTGTAGTTTCATGTATAATTGCTAACGCAAATGGCACACTTTGTTTATTATTTCCAGGATGTAATGCCTCATATGTAAGCTTTGGAGTTTTTCTAAGTACCTTTCAGATCATTATCATTATGGTAAATCATAAATAAATTATCCCAACTAATATATCCTGATGGCCAATCAATATTGATATATGCATTATGGTATTTAAAGTCTGGAAAAAATTTTTTTTACCATTTAATATATTATTTCTAAGATTTTTGACTAAATGCATACTATCATAAAACAAATATGTCTTCTTTCCATGATTATGTGGGTGAACAATAAAATACTTTAAGACTTGTCTGTAACTATACCACACACAGTGAATCCAGCACCAAATAGATTTTTAAGGTTGTCAGTTATATCTTGAATTTCCAGAGACTTCTGTAATTGCTTGAACAATAAAAGAAATAAATTCTTTTAGTCCTATTATCATGAATGCAACAATTCCTTTGTACAAGTTATCTTCTTCGTCAGCACCAACATACTCTTCTCCTTGATATTGCGCTGCTTTATGTAAAAAACATTTCATCTAAAATCATAATACAATCAGGATACATTTTTCCTTTTTCACATAGAAGTTTTAAAGCTTTTATAGAATCTATACCTCCTTGTTGAACTTTATTTAATAAAGATATTAATGCTAAAGGGAGCTTTTTAAGTAGTAGTTTGTATGCCTGTAAAGATGTATATCGTAAATGTAATGCATACCGAATCATCTTTGCTGAGTATGATGCCCTTTATTTTTAAATACATTAATGCTGCACCAAGCAACGTTAGCGTAATTTAGATAGCAATGAATAAAAGAAAAGTAAATAAGTTTCAAACAAGTTTGGTTCAACAACTGTTTTGGTTTGTATAAAAGGACTATATTTTTCGAGATTTTATTTTGGATTATTTGTATGTGCTCCTTCCATGTTACGTTTTCATCTAAAACAACGCCTAGAAACAACAAAGAACTCTCTCTTTTGAAATTAGAGTTATTAATAAAAAGCTTAGGAAGTTGTAAAAGTATGTTGTCTTTATCATGAATACGATGGAAGAAAGTATATTTTGTTTTTTTAATATTTATGGACAATTTATTTGATATAAACCATTCGCTTAGTTTCACAAGCTCCTCGTTCACTTTTGTAAATAAAACATTAATATCTTTGTTTGAATAAAATACGTTAGTATCGTCGGCAAATAAAATTGAATTTAAGATATTGGAAAATTTACTCAAGTCATTTATATAAATGAGAAATAAAAGCGGTCCTAGAATTGATCCTTGGGGGACTCCGCAGGTAATTGTCATCAAGTCTGTTTTCTCGCCATCATATAAAATGCATTGTTTCCTATTCTTTAAATAACTCTTAAACCAGCCTAAGTTAGAATTTATGATACCATAATTTTTAAGTTTATAAAGAAGAATATTATGATCTACGGTATCAAACGCTTTGCTCAGATCAATAAAGACACCTAAAGTAAATTTTTTTTCATCAAACGCTTTAAAAATTTCATGCACAAGAACAATTATTGCGTGATCGGTCGAATGACCGGATTTAAACCCGAATTGTTTATTGTAAAGAATATTATTTACATTTAAGAAAGAATAAAGTCTAATATACATTATACGCTCCAAAACCTTTGAAAAACAATTAAGAACAGAGATCGGTCTGTAGTTGGAAACATCAGAAGGATCACCTGTTTTAAAAATTGGTGTAACTTTTGCACCCTTTAGTTTTTCAGGAAAAATTCCATGTTTTAAAGATAAATTAAAAATATGTAAAAGTGGTATTGTTATATATTTTAGTGACTTAATAATGACCATACTGCTAATATCATCTAAACCGGAACTTTTGTTAATTTTTAACAAAGAAACTGAACTTAATAATTCTTCCTCCTTAATTCATGATTTGGCATAACAGCATTAGTTGATGTCAAGTATGATTTAAAACTTATTTGAGATGGTTCAATTTTTTCAGCTAAACTTTTACCAACATTAACAAAAAAGTTATTTTGCGTTTCAGCCACCATTGATTTATTAAAAACTAATTTATTATTTAATTTGAGATTTTTTGGCAAAGCATTTCTATCTATTAAAATTCTAAATATTACACAAATGTTTTTAAATCTTTGATATCTTAAAAAGTATATATATTAAAAACAACTGCCATTTTTACATTGAAAAACTTCAAGTTAAAAATTAAGAATAAATTTGCTTTTGAAAATATAATATTCTGCGCAGCCATTTTTTCAGTAAAAATCGGACTCTTAATTTCCCCCTCAAAAATGTAAGATATACGGCCGTAAATATAGTAGGCCATATCTGCAATTATATCAAAGTTATTACTTCTCACATTTGTTATTAATTTAGTTCAATAGAGTTCTTAGCTATTTATTAATACAAAATTATTTTAATTAAAAACCAGAATATTGCACAGATGATCTAGTTACCCTATTAAGAATTTAAACCGGACATTGACGTTTTTAAGAAAAAACGGTCGATTTGAAAGTCATTTATAAATTATAAAGACGAGCAGCTAGGATTTTAGTTTCAACAGATTTGTGATGTAAAAGTTCTTAAAGGATCTGGAAACAGTTTTTGTTGACACCTTTATCGATCGTGAATTTGTTGAGGGCCAATGTGCACAAGGTAGATAAGAAATGCAAATAACATTTTAGATTTCAGGTCATAAGCTTAAATTAACTTTCTTAGGTTAAATAAATAGAAAAAAATATATAAACAATCATGAAAAATCAGTTATTTTACATTAGAATCATTATTTTAACTATATTTGAGCTCATCAATCTTCAATCAATCAAGTCAAAATGTAACTGATTTTCAAAGTAAAAATAAAAGCAAAGCTTCAATAAAACCATTTGAAGTTGTTGATTTTCTGGACTGCTGTGGACCATTGATTTGCAGAATTGCAATGCAAACTTTAGTTTTTGAGTTATAGTTGAATGTATAGGTATGTTTAAAAACGCCAAAAGGCGTACTTCGGAGTGGAAGGGTTAATTCAAGACAAAACAAATAACCCGTTAGAAAGTTTTAGTTTCGGTCACTTATTTTTAATGACACATTTCTTTATAAATCTACAAAAAATGGCGTCTTTAAGTGGATTTTTCAAACAAGATGGCTACTAGTTAACTTTAGATTTTTTTATTTTTGAGTCGACTCTTTTTTTCATATAAACTATCTACTCCAGCTTAAAGCAACTTAATAACAAAATTCGCTGGTACCTAATACAGATTTGCAACCTTTCCGCAGTATCAGTAACATGAAATTAAATTTTTTTTTCTTCTTAATTTGTTAGAAGGACTTACGGAGAATACAGGCTAAAAGGAATAGGGGGTTCTAAACTGCATTGTTACCAAAGTTAGTACTAAATTTGTGAATGAAATAAATGCTAAAAGTTCTATTGACAACGAAAAAAAGTTTATGCAAGATAGAAAATATTTAATTCATTAAAAACTTTCTGAAAATATTTTTTTTTTGGTGGTACAAGAGCTGAAAAAGGAATTTCATCACTGAGGATAATGCACGCGGGAAAACTCAAAAACCCTTATGTTTATAATTTCAAACAAGTAATCACTAATCTTCTCCTTGCTGGGGAGGGGGTTGCGATGGTTGATCGCTTTCCGATGATTTCTTTGTTCCAGATACAATATCGTCAATACGCAACAAGAGCATCGATGTCTTAAAACAATTATTTCAAAATTAAAATCAAAAGGCATTAGAATTAAAAAGTAATATTATATTTATATATACATATATACATACATACATATATACATATATATATATATATATATATATATATATATATATATATATATATATATATATATATATATATATATATATATATATATATATATATATATATATATATATATATATATATATATATATATGATTACCTCAATTGCAGTTTTGTAAGTTTGCGCTTTCACAGAAAAACAATCCCATATTCCAACAACTTTCATATCGGCAATAGTTCCTGTGTCACCGTCAATACCCCACGAGCTATTTCCACCTGCAGCGTGTTTAGCCTAGAAATTTAAAACATTTAAATAAATACATTCTAAACAAACTATGCTTTCAAACAGCCTAACATATTTTAATATTTTATTTAAAATAGAATAATTTTATCATTTAATTTAATTTTATCATTTAAACAACAAATGTGTTTACCCTTAATGCAGTTAATGTTCGTATAGAATTTGTTCCACAGTTTTGTATTAGAGTTTTTGGAATAATTTCAAGTGCTCTTGCAATTGCTTTGTAAGGCCATTGAATAACGCCAGTAATACTTTTCGATTTTTCCTCTAAAGCCTAAAATATTAATATAAAATAATTTTTAATGATACTTGTAATATCTATATTTATTACATAGCCTTAGACATTAATTATAAAATTAATTCTAATAGCATAATATGTACAATTTATTTTAACTTTAAAAAAAACATGTATCAATATATGAAATTGTATAAAAAAATATACACAGTCAAATCCCAAATCAGTAATTTATTATAATCAAAAATAATTTTTTGAAAGTTTTTTTGCTTCTATTTAAAAATGAATATTGAAGGCCAATATGTCCTCCAAAAAATTAGCTTCTTCTGAAATGTGAAAAGACCTCAATAAATCTCATGAAAGTCTTCAATATGTAACTCTTGGTCATTATACTAAGCCATAACAAGCATGAATCCGTGAAAAAATTAAATTAACAATAAATTTAAGTTAACATATTCTAGCAACCATATATGTATTAAAAATTTTCTGGAACATACTAAAACTTACCAGAAGTTTGCAAAATTTTCCAAAATTTTATAGAATTTCAAAGAACTTTGTAGAAAAGGACGTAAAGGACAGACTAAAACTACTAATAGACATAAAAAGGATTATCAAACATTTTAAAAGACACACTTAACCACTTAGAAACTTTAAGATTGTATGTAGATAAAATTTATTCATAATATTGTATGTGGATAAAATTCATTCATAAGATAATAGGCCGGGTAAATAAAAAAAGCAATTGCTTTTACTCAGCGTTATCGGAGTAATTGCTCAGCTTTACGTGAATAACAAACTGAGCAAAATCGCTAAAATTTTTATTCACGTAAAGCTGAGCAATTATTCCCAAAACCGCTGATTAAAAGCAATTGCTTATTTTTACTTACCCAGTCTAATATGTGGATAAAAGTCATCCAGAAAATTTTATCATAACAATAGGTGAATGAAATTTTGAAAACTTAAAAAAAACCTTAAAAAATATATATAATAATACAACCCAATTTAACTGTAAATGATAAATTTGGCAAAAGAAATGCGTTAAAGTTAGTGTTGTTATCAACTTCGACTAAATCGACTTAAAGTTGACTAGTCGAAATTAGTCGATTATGAAAAATCTAATATTCGATTTAATCGACTTTAGATTTTCTACTAATCGACTATAAGTCGATTTAGTCGGGTCTTAAAATTCGTATCTTTATCGCTTCGTTTGATTTAACTTTGTCAATATTTAATTTTATTATGATGCTGACCATTCTTTTTATTGATTGATACATATAATAATAATTCTCAATGGACATTTTAAACCTTCAGAAATTAATAACGATTAGAATAATTCTAATAATAACAATGATAGGTACTCATGCAAATCCTTTAGGACATTATTTCTGCATGAAAGAATTCTTATCTGAGTGAAAACACTTTCAACAAGTAGTGACTTACGAATATCAAACATTGTCTAGAAGATCTAATTAATAAATTGTACATACTTTGTTTTTGTCATACATTAAATTTAATCGTTAAAGATGTTCTTGTAATAGAGAATGAGCTACCAACTGACGAAAATCATTGCGTTTTCATAATTTTAAAAAAATATAGGAAACTTGTTGCCTTATTCAAAAATAATAAGCTTTCTGCTCTACTTGTAAATTGTGTTGAGTTGAATAATATAAAAATTGACAATCAAGAAGATAAATGTTCAATTAACAAATTAAATCAAGACATTGCTACTCGGTGGAATTTGACCTTTTTAATGTTTTAGTCAGTTTTTAAACTTAGCTAATCAATCAGTAGGCAACAAAATCATCAATTATTTAAATATGAATATAAAAATATCGGAAAATTCATGTCCCCTTGCATTTTATAAAAATAATTTATGTCAATTTCCCGTTTTGTTTTGTCAAAGATAGCAAAGATACTCATTTGTATAACTGCTTCAACAACGCCTTCTGAAGAGTTATTTTCAAGCGCTGCCGAAATCATTACAGAACAGCGAAATAGACTTAAATCAGATTTGGCTGAACAATGTATCTTGTTAAACCAAGACATATAAAATGGTCATCTTATTCTTTTCTATTATAATTTCTGTTTTGTTTGTTTATTTTGAATCGAGATTCAAATTAATCTAATAGAATAATATCACATAATTTTTTGTTTAGTTTCTTAAAGTTCTATTTATTTCATTTAAGAAATAAATTGCCAAGCAACATTTAAATATTATAATCAAAAAAAAATTCAAATATTTTGACTAAATCGACTTTATCGATTTCCACAAAATATTAGTCAATTATAGTCGACTTTGAAAAACACCTTAATCGATTTAATCGAATTATTTCAACACTAGTTAAAGTGTTTCATTACTTTAGTTAATGCTTTGAATGAAAATCCTATACAGCAACAAACAAATTTAAAATCTTTTTAAAATGCAAGAAATATAAGGTCAACTTAATTATTATAAAGAACTTAGGTATTAAATACTTTGGAAATCTTTTAATATTGATTACAAAATAAAAAACTTAAACCTTTGAAATGGGGCAAAATGGTGAATAGGGTAAAGAAGATTTTTCCAATAAAACTCAAAAATAAAACATTAGATGAAAACAAAACTCATGTAAGTTCAATCCCCACCACACCCCTGGTAGTACCGCACTCAACTTGTCTCTCTGAACAGCGACCTTGTTTATCAAGGTTTGTTTTCGGAGCTGAGAGAGGGTTATAACCTTGGAGAGACAAATTAACACAAAAAAATATACACATGTATTTTAATTTAAAACATTTGATTCTTTTAAAACGTCCACTTTTATCTAAAATAACTCAGGCAATGCTAACCAGATGTGGCATGGCAATGTTTTATTTTTAGAGACATTAACTAAAAGAGTAATTTTAAAAACTTAATAAATCTATTGACAGAAAACGTAGAGAAAGTCAACACAGTAAATCTAAAGGGTTCTTCGTGGTTTTTTGAAGAACTTAAAGGTTCTTGGTGAAATTGTAAGGTTCTTTAAAGAACCTACGGGTTCTTAATATTCTCTAATGGTTCTTTGAAGAACCGGCGGCTTATTTACAAAGTAATACAAGGAACCTACAAACGCTGTTTTATTTATCTAAGAGGTTGTTAACTTTTTTATATAGGTAGACTAGTATGAATTTATAAAGAATGGTATAATAACAATAACAAATGATTATCATGACAATATATAATTTGTGCTTTAAATATTTGAGTTGTTTTTATTACCGTTGTTAACATCAACAGCGATTATAAAAGCAACATGTTTTTATTTTTTATTTTTGATCATTTCTTTATTCCTATATGCTTTTATCATGCATCTTTTGAATAAACATATCATTGTTTATTGCGAATTGGTTTATTTAGATAAACAAATAAGCTATTTGTTAAAACTTAAAAAATGGCAGATTATTTGAACTGGAGTATAGAAGATGTTTGCCTACACTTAGAACTTAAAGGATTTCCAGAACTTAGACATAAAGTTATTGGTTAGATTGAAGTTTTTATTTTTTTTTAAGCCATTATTTTGTGTGTGTGTGTGTGTGTGTGTGTGTGTGTGTGTGTGTGTGTGTGTGTGTGTGTGTGTGTGTGTGTGTGCATTCATAGTTAAAGAGTATGAATCTTTGCCAATATGTTTACCATGATACCATATGTTTACCATGATACTATATGTTTACCATGATACCATATGTTTACCATGATACCATATGTTTACCATGATACTATATGTTTACCATGATACCATATGTTTACCATAATACCATATGTTTACCATGATACTATATGTTTACCATGATACCATATGTTTACCAAATGAAGTTTGTGACTGTAATAATAATCTTAAGAAAGTCAATTCCAAATAATATTTTTTAAATGTTTATTATTGTTTGTTTAATAAAACAATTATTTAAAATAATATAAATACAAAATTAAAATTTTTGTATAAACAGGATTGTTTTGATTTTAAACCGATTGATTTGATTTAAATTGATTTAAATCATGACAAATAAAAATCATGATTTAAATTGACTTTTTTGATTTTAATTATTTTTAATGATTATTTATAGATTGATCAACTTAAAGTAAATTGCAATAGCTAAATATAACTACTGAGTAAACTAGTATTAGTTATAATAGTCAGATAATGCATTATAAAATATACAGTAGTCATATAAATCATTAACTTTTTTAATTTATTGTAAGACTTTTATCCATATAAGTAAATTTTTTCTTTTTCATGTTTTAACTTATTGACTAATTAAATTAGTTTCTGCTTTTGTTACTATTTATATAATAATTATAAATATATTCCTTTTATATAAGTATTTTCAAATTTTTTAAAATTACAGTATTCATTTATAATTGTTGTTATTTTTTAGTTGTAAATAGAAATAATATAACTAGAAATAAAAATGTCTGGGGCCGGTAGAAAAATAGATGCAGTTTTGAAAACGGTTTAAAGAAATATCTGCAAAGTTTGGTAAAAAAAGGGTAATAAAGCTAAATGTAAAAGCTGTGTTGTACAAATGCAAGGTTTGGTTGCTCGAATGAGAAACCACAAAATGTAATTTTGGTAAATGTAATTTTTTGAAAGATGTTTGAGATAATGAAAACATTATTATTTGTCAAGACAAATATCAACCTGGCAACTGAAGAACCACGAGCTAGTCAATTTTCTGTTAAGAAAACTGAATCTAGTCAATCTGCTGTATGCCCATGCTGTTGTGAGTTTCTTTTTAATATTTCCAAAATATTTTGTACTCTGTTATTTTGTAGACTTTATATATTTCATATATGAAGTCTATAAATCTACAAAAAGTTAAACTCTTATTATATTCTTAATTATATTTTTTTTACATATTTAAATATTAAAGAAATGAAATGACACTGAGATTTGGTAAAGATAAAGAAATGCATTAAAAAATAAGCTTTAAATGCAAATGGATGCAATAAGCTGATGTGGCAAAGTTGAAATTTATAGAATATTTAAAAATTTGGTTGAAATTAAATTAGTCAATTACTGCTTCGATCTTAACAAAACAAGGTAAAATTGTATATTATTTAAAATAGTTTATTGAGTTTATGATGATTCTTTAAACGAATGCGACTTCAGAAATCTCACGTTTATTTGTACATCTAATTTCAAGAAAAAACATTTATATATTGGACAACAGATTTAACACTAGAAAACTTTTTTTATAATTGATGACATATTTTTATAAACATAGACATATTGGATTGTAAAATAAAATTTTTGTTATTTGTTTGAAAATATTATATTTATATTAATTGTTTAAAAATAGTTTTTCTTTTGTTTATTGCCATATATTGCAATATATATTGAATTTTTAGAAAAGTCGCGTTTACATTTTAATTTTGGCGTAAAGCAACTTGCTTAAATATTTTAAATAAGAATAATTAAATATTAAAAATCTATTAAATAATTATATATTATAAATATTTAATAATAAAAAATGTCTAAGAATTCAAAAAAGTATCAGTGCAACATTAACAATAATGAACAGTTCGATGAAGAACTATAACGGGTTCTTCAAAGTACCTTATTTTAAGGTTCTTCCATAGAACCCTTTCAAATGGTTTTTTGAAGAACCTCTATGGGTGCTCCGCCAGCATCAATGCAAAGAACCCTTAAAGGTTCTTTGAAGAACCATTTGGCTAAAGAATGAACTTGATAACCTAATGACATATTTATGAACTTTAGACATTTTTTATCAAGCTTTTCTAACTGTTGGATGAATAATTCATTATTTACATAAATCATTCTGACAAACCCAAACACTACAAAAAACTATTGATAAATGTTTTGAAAAAAAAACATTTATCATGTATATTGGAATATATATATATATATATATATATATATATATATATATATATATATATATATATATATATATATATATTGGAAAATTTGGAAAAGTGCAAATCTTAGTAAATTAAACAGTGCATGCAATGAACAAAATTGTCCAGTGCAATATTTTAACTGAACATGTTATTAACAAGCGCAATTATGTACGCTTGGTATCAAGTCTTTGAGAGCAATATTCAAGGTTGGAAATTGGTTGTCATGGATTCATCCATAAAACACGTACACAGGTACAGGGATGGGTTTACCTAAAAGCATACCAGTGCGTGCAAGGGAAAGGGTGAACAATTTTTCGTTAATACATTAGTCTATCTACTGGAAGAAATATGTTACTGTGGCTTTGATATTAAATAAAAACAATGAAATATGGGGTAGTTTTATTTATTTTATAGTCGTTTTCAAAAATTGAAATTTATTTTAAATCAAGTTTTCACAGTAGAATCATTATTAAAAAAAGTATTCATCTTAGAATTAAATTAAAAAAATATATATTTATAGATTTTTATTTAACTTATTACAAAAGTAAGTTATTAATTTATATTAAATTTTATTAACTCTGTCATTAAAAATGTTTAACGGATGATTTTTTAAATTAAGTTTTCTCATCCCACTTTCCAAATTTGCCACTTAAAACTTATGATTTTTTAAAATTCTATTAAGTTTTTGATTTTATAATTTAAATTTTCTATATTCTATTTCTATTTGGAAAAACACATTTTGAAAATAGTAAACATTTCATTCTATCTGTTAGCAGTAATGACTTCATAACTTTCCATTCATTGTTTGTACAAAACAGAAAACTGCTTTCTAATTTAAACGCACGATTTAATTATTATCAAGTGAAAAATTTTTGATATACATGATTATATACTTAATAAATTTATAATACACTTTTAAAATATACTTACATTAGTGTATGTATATACCTCTCTCTTTCTCTCTATATATTTATATATATACACTTATATGTATACACTTATAAAAATACAATATATAAATAACTTATATACTGATGTATATTTGCAAAAATGTGTTTGTTACAACCAGGTCATAAAGGCATGAAACTAGTGACATTACATTTTTTCTTTAGTTGTTTGTGAGCATGCTTTCCAAAGTTTAAATAAACAATACATATAATAAATACTAGTCAAAAGTAGAACCCTGATAACTTGGACTTTGAAGAGATTTATATTTTAAATTTTTCTGTTATTGTTCTAATTTTTAGTTTTGTTTAGCATCAACTTTTTTGTAAGTTTATAACTTATTATTTTTTTATAACTTTTATTATAAGCTTGACCAATTTGTAGATATCAGCAGAATAATTCATTTAAACTATTTGACACAAAAGTATTTAATATTCAAATGTTTTGAATTTGATTTGATGTTTTTGAATGTGATCAAACTTGTACGAAATATAAATTATTAATGAAGTTTTAGTTTAATAAATAAAAGCATTTAAAGGAATTTTTATTGAAATGCAAGTTTTGATATTTTATTACATAGACTTTTATGCAATTCAAAGTAAAAGTCCTAGTTAAGTTACATTTTTTGTCAAATGGACCTAAAAAAAACTGTGGAGTTAGCGATTCGACTTAAACAGGCTACGATTAAGGAATAATATGATAAAGTTCAACAGGAATTCAAAAAAAAAAAAATGTCATACTGCGTTTAACTTTCTTTTGCACTGAGATTTTTATTTTAATTTATGCATTATGTACTTTATAATGAATTAACTTTTTTTGGTATTATCTAAGTATTATTTAACAAAATGCAAACTCTACTGTTTAATCAAAAATATTTTCTATAAAATTAATTTTCTTTAAACGAGTGCAATTTTATACTATAACAAAATTAACTAAATAATTTTCACGCCTGGAAGACCATTTATGGGCCTGTTTCACATGTGCGGAGCATTCACTCCCGCTCAATCACAAAGCCCGATAAAATAAAAAATTTCAAGTGCAAATGCCAACAAATAAAATATAATGTAAATATTAACAAAAAAAAACATGCATACATGTGAGAGGGCCATTTCAGTAGCTCCACCACCAGGACACAAGCGAGGATCCATCATAACGTTTCTTGCAACATTCATTGCATCTTGCAAATTACGATCAACTTCGTTTAAAATATCTTTACTAGCACCACGCAAAAGAATAGTACAAGCTTTTGGATCTTTACACTTTGTTAAAAAGGTAAAATACCTAGGTGAAAAAAAAAATTAAAATATATATGCAGGCTTGGTCGGAAAGCGGAAGCGATCGCTCTCGATTGCTGACCACAGAAATAATATTTAGTTGCAAAAAGCTGGCCAGATTTTTTAGTCCTTTTGAGAATATTTCAAAAAGCAAAAAAAAAATGCGCAAAAGATAAATTGGACTGATGAGAGACAGTTACAAAAATAAATTAAAAAAAAAAAAAAAGGAAGAAGATAAAATATCTTTTACCGCGAAAAAACTTAAAGCAAAATAAATTATACTTAGAACAAATATTTTTGAAGCATCACTTTTTTTATAATTTTTTTTTATAAAATTAAGCAACATTTTTTATACTAAGTAACAACTTACGATTGTTTAAAAAGGAAACAATTGTTTTTTATTTATTAAAGTTTGCAAATTTTAGTTTTATCTAAGCTAAATTGTTTTATAAATGAAAAAGTTAATTTTTTAATACCTATTTTATGTTTTGCATAGTTTGAAAAATTAAACATATTTGAAACAGTTCTTCTTAGTAGGATAAACAAATGAAATAATTAAGTCTTTGAATTACTATAGAATTTAACTAGATAGAAATCAACTAAAAAGGTTAAAAATACTTCACAATATTGCTGATGTTTAGTGAATGGGCTTTATTTCAATTAGTATTTAAAGCAGAAAAAAGTATAATGAGTTTTTAAAAATGGCAACTTAGACGAAAGTAATTAGATTAAGTAAACCAATATCTAGAAACTTTTCTTTATATCTAATAACTTGCTATATATATTTGTGTTCTGTCGTGATCTCAGGTGCGGTGCTTGTTCATTCGCGAGTTACTTTGTATGCATTGTTTGTGTTTAGTAACCAGAAACTTTTTATATGCTTGTTACATAATTATTTTATTAACTTTAATGATTATTAACTTCATTGAAAACGCAATTATTTTTGTAAGTCTTTGTTTACAAATTAAATCGATAAAAAACAGATACACAAAATTACATAAAAAATAAGTATATACTAATAAAATCTATAATATATAATAAACTTTCAAAATTTTGACAATTTAAATAATATATATTTAAAAAATTTATTTTTTAAAACAAATAATAATAGTTTATAAGATTTATGGCTTCGCAGATGTGGTTCTGAGATGTGGCTTCGAGAATGAGCCATAGAATTGATAATATATTCTTAAAACAATTTATGCCAGAAATCTCAAAACATAACAAATCGTGAATAATACAATTTTTAAAACATTTCAACAGAATACTCTAGAACTTTATTTCGCTTAGTCGGCGTATTTTTTGAACCAATAGAATTAGTTTGTTCATTAATTTGGCGGGTTTTTAGAGTTCGCAAATATTCTTTTTTTTCTTCCGCACCAAGATGTTTTGAGAACATTCAAGTTTTTCATGTTTCCATGTATGTCCGTAAAATAAATTTTTTTGTTTCATACATAAACTTAAATGTTCTTAAAACGACTAAAAAACCTGGCCAGTTTTTCGCAACTAAATATAATTTCCATGGTCAGTATTACCGACCAAGCCTGTATATGTATATGTATATGTATATGTATATGTATATGTATATGTATATATATATATATATATATATATATATATATATATATATATATATATATATATATATATATATATATATATATATATATATATATATATATATATATATATATATAATAGTAACATTTTAAAATACGATTTTGAAACAAGTTTAAACCAAAAATAAAATAAACTTAGTTTTAAAAGCATTCTTACTCATCACCAATCTTTTGAATTTCAAATAATCCGCAGCCGAGCCCTAAATCTTCCTCTTTAATCTCTTCAGGTCGATTAACAATTGTTGCACCTACAGCTCTAAAAATTATAAAAATTTACAGTAACATAAATATATAGCAAAATCTATAGCAAAGTTAATATTTAATAAAATTTAACATAAATATATTGTACTAAATATAACAATTTATTTTTTAAATTTTTTACATTTTATTACTTTAACAAAGATTTTTATATTTATAAAATATATTGTATTTATAAAACTCATAATTAATTTTAATTTAAAAACAACCTTGCTATTCTGTTGTTATCAGTTTTCTTTATTCTTCTAATAACAGAAATACCAGCTTTAACTAAATAATGCTGAGCCAGATCTAAAAATTTCACACAAAATAAAAAGCTATTTGGAAACATTTTGAGAAATTTAAAAAGTAATATAATAAATCATGTTTTTTAAATTATAAGCTACCCTCATTCCAAAGAAAACAAGAGATTATTACACCACCATTTATTGGATTACACCAACAAATACACATAAAAAAAATAATGTTATTTATGTTACTTAGATCCCATACCTGAAACACCTTTTTCTGTGAATAACAAATTTGGTTTGTGCACTATAATATCGTCACAAAGTTTTTTAATGAATTCTTCCTCTAGTTGTAATATGCGATTAAAATCTGTTTCTTGGCTAATTTCAATATTTGTCATGCTTTCACCTTTTTTAAATTCTAAGTTGCAATCAAGAAGTAAAATTCTTGGATTTTCTATTCGTCTACTCATTCTTGGATGTACTACGTCCTTATTTAACATGATACCATCTAAAACACAAGAATCTTCTAACATTCCTCCTGGAATCTTTTCTACTTTTGTGTATCTTTTAATATCAATTTCACGTCGACCATTTTTATCTGTAAGGCATGTGCGAGTTGCTTTTAGTGCCATACTGCATGCAAGTTCAGACCTAGTTTTAAAAAAACAATACAGAAATTGTACTATTAAAGTGATATTTTAACAGTAACAAGTTTTATGTAGTAAATAAGACAAAATAAAAACAATAAATTTCAATAGAAGAACTTTTTCAATCATAAATGAAATTTTTTTTTAAATCATAAAAGTTTTTACTATCATAAATGTAAACAAGAAGAAGTTAGTTACAAAACTTTATTACAAAATTCTGCAACAAAGCCAAAACCTAAAAAGTAATGTGTATAAAAAAAAGTTTTTTTTAAAAATTCCAAATTATAATAACAGGTGATGCAGAAGTTATTGGACAAATCTGAATTTATTTATTTGAGCATATTAATTTGTTTTTGTGGTTTTATGAGTAAGCATCAATGTTCTAAAAAATATAAACTTTATTATTTAAAACTATTATTTAAAATTACGTTAAATGCGAATGTGAAAGATGGAGAAAAGAGAACCAAATTAATGAGACTTGTCAACAATTGAAAAGGAGTCAGTCAGAGAAAAATAGGACTTAAATTCAGTATAAATTATTAGACAATTGGTTGTCAGTTAAAAAAGAATTTTAAATATAGAAAAATTGCAGGAAAAGAAATAGGAAACTTATTTACCAGCTCTATAAAATGAAATCAATTTTGGTCACAAACAACAAAAAAACAAACAACAAAAGTTTATTGCTTAGGTTTATACAAAGAGAAATTTCCAAAATAATTATTAATGTGGATAGCCATATTTGACCGTGGTATATCCAAGCCATTGGTTCGTACATTCAAGGCTGCAGCATTTAATACATCAATCTATATTGATGTATAAATTGAATATTTAGAAAAACAACTTCTGTTTATTTACAAGTGTCACAAAGACTTTAACTATTAATTTTGGCAAGTTATCATTATCCTGAAAATTTTCTAAATTTAATGTATGAATTGGTTGATAAAAAATCCAACCCCTCAAATGTGCCTCAAGCGCAACCAATTGAAAACATTTGGGGACATTCGGCACAGATAATTTACGAGGGAAATTGGTAAGCTTCAATAGAAAAAGTTGATTGATCGCATTAAATTAAAACTAAAAGCTTCTAACAGCTGCTTATGAAAGGTGTCAAAGCAAATGAAATCAATTGCAGATGATGGAGATAATGGGAGTTTTTTCATTAAAGGAGTAACTGATTTTTATTAAAAGATAAATACTTTAAAAAAAAAAACTTTTTAATTTATAAATAATATATTTACATTTTTATTGTCACATAACTTACGCATCACCCATTAGAATAAAAAAGTTGCATAATTATATAAATACTGTATGTACCAACTTTTAAGAAAAAACATGTTTTAAGTTGTTGCCAGAGGTTTTTTTTTTTAATTTAAGTTTTTGGCTATTTTTTCTTTACTTGTTGCTAGAGGTCGTTTTTTTTACAAAAAACATTGTTAAATGAGTTTCTGTCAAGCATAAATAGTAGGTTCCCATGCCTATTTAAAATAAAATATTTATTTTAATTAAGTTAAGTTAGGAGGGTAGTTTTTAAGAAGGGTTTTTTAAAAAAATATATATATTTTTGATTAATTACTAATTGTTAAAATAATAATAACATAAAAAACTTGAACTAAAGTATTCATGTTTTGAATTTCTTCACTTGGTCTTTAGTCAACTGAAAACATTCAAAACATTAATAACCAATTAAAACATTAAGAATAACAAAGACATTAAAAACTAACGAGCACAGTGATTAAAAGTGTACCTAAAAGAAATCTATATTTTATCATGAAAAAAATGTTTTAATTTTTGTTTTGTTGTTTTATTAAGTCTTTAATGCTAATTGCTATGTATGATGTAAGTATGCAGTGCAATATTTATAAGTTTTATTATATTTAAAAAAAAAAAATTGATTGGACAAACTTCAAGTTTGTATATACAAAAAAAAAAAATAATAATAATAATAATTGAAAAAAATATATCGTCTTATTGTATATAAAAACTTGTTTTACTATATAAATGATATAATGTATTACAGTTTTGTAAAACGAAAAAGCTAACCAGCTATGCATGAATTTAGTCCCAAGACAACTTTTCAAAATGTTGAGCATCTCTTCATCGTTATTGACATCAACAGGAACACTAATTTGCTCTTTGAGAACATCAAGAAGATCATCCAGGGCTTTTCTATAAGCAGCTATGATAACTGTTGGATGAATTTTATCTTCAATAAATTGAGCTGCTACAGAAAGAACTTCTCCAGCCAGTATGACTACAGATGTAGTGCCGTCACCAACTTCCTCATCCTGTGTACGACTAATCTCAAGCATTGTTTTTGCAGCCGGATGCTGGACTTGTATCTCTCGAAGTATTGCATTTCCGTCATTAGTCATAACAATTCCTCCCATCGGATCCATTAACATCTTAAGCATGGCCTTAGGCCCAAGACAAGTACGTATAATATCAGCAACAGTCTAAATAGTAAATTATATATATATATATATATATATATATATATATATATATATATATATATATATATATATATATATATATATATATATATATTTGAAAGAACTTTATCACATTGGTATCAATAACTGCCTACAATAAGACCAGTAATAACATCACATAATAAAAATATTCAACCATTGTTAAATTAAATATGTTAACTCTATTTTCAAAAATAATTCTGATTATGCAAATAAGTTCATAATTAAATTAAGATTTTATAATGAAACCATTGAAATGATTTAAAATAAATTTAAAATAATTTATTATTTAAATAATTTAATATTATATTTAAAATAGATTTTAGTATCGGAGGTATATTTTTGTCTACAAACTTGACTAATTTTTCGTTTTCTACTGTTTTTATCAATTTGTGCTCTGAAAACATTCAAATATCTTGATTCTATGATTATATTTGGTAACAAATTCCAATTATTACGAATTCGACTGGCAAAGAAATTATTTATCAGTAAAGAAGATGGTACAATTTCTCTTTCTAACCTGTATTTGTTGCTCTGTATCAAAGAGACCAGACTTGAACGAATTAAAGATTTCTGTACCCACTAATTTGGTCTATATTGTGTATAAAACTGTATTTTGGTATAAGATCTTTTTTTGCTTGTCTTTTCTCTAATGTTATTAAACCTGTTGCCTTTAATCTATATATATACTTTTTCTTCCTTTAGTTTTAGAACTTCTATTGTTATTCAACTAACTTTGTTGCTATTCTTTAAACTTTCTTTAACTCATCTTGTCATAAATAAGACTGCCGTACAGGTATAAAGAACTCAAAAAGTGACATAACAAATGTTGTATTTAGTGATTTTACAATTTCTACATCAAAATATGTAAATGTACGATTAACTAGACCCATAGCACTATGCGCTTTTGCTGTCACTGAACTTGCCTTATGATGCCATTTAAAGTTTAAGTTGGGTGAAATAATAACATATAAATCTTTCACTTACTGTTGAACCTAATGTATGATCTTCATTGACATGGGTCATAATATAATTCATTTGTAGATTTTTTACTTACAGGTATTACTTAACATTGTTTATTTAGAAATTCATTGATATCATCCTGATATCAATGAATTTCTAAAATAAACTAAAATAAAAAGCAGACTTTAACTGGCTCAGGCTCATAGTAAGTGTATTGTTCTTGGATTTATAATTGAATTATATATAAGTTTATATATACATATATATATACATTTGTTACTGTTTTCTAAAATGTATATTAGGGTGTCCCAAAAAACAACTTTTTTAAAAATAATCTGCTCTCACCCCCTAAATGTGTTCTATCTAATACAAAAACACTAAGTTTAAATTTTTTTTTTAATAAAAAATAATTTAAAGGGTCCCTCAAGACCCTCGGATATTTAATGGGTCCCTAATATTTTCAAAAAAAAAGTTTTTAAAAATTATGTCAACCTGTTACTCAAATGAACCGAAATTATTTAAAAATTTCAAAAATAATGTTCATTTCGGAAAAAACAATACGTAACAATATTTCCCTTAAAATATACAAAACAAAAAACAATTTTCTGTAAAAAAATCGCCGATTTCCTTAAAAAAAAAAGTATCGTCTAAGTACGTATCGTTTTTTAAATTTATTTATTTATTTATATATATATATATATATATATATATATATATATATATATATATATATATATATATATATATATATATATATATATATATTTTAAATATATACAAATTTTTTTACTGTATTCACCTTACCTAAGGCTAAAGAAGTCACAAAAGACGAACATTAAAAATTAAGTTAGAATTTATTTAATAAATTAAAAACAAAACAAAAAATCAAATCAAATTATTTCAGATAAAAGTAAACAAATTTTAATTGGCTTCATAGAATCCTATCATACTTTTTATTCTTATTTTATTTTATTAAAATAAAATAAAAACTTCACAATAAAAGAAAAATTTCTGTCGCAATGCAAAAAGCATAAAAATTTTGAGACTTTTTGCAATATTATTGAAAACTACTTTTTGTAAGTTTAAACATTTTTTTAATTATTATTTAAATGACATGAACTAATCCAACAACCACTCATCACTTCTCAAACAAATTTTTATTGAATATAAACTAGTAATTATTTTAAGTACTAACTAAATATTTTTTTAGTTTTAAGATATATTTTTAGTCATTTTTATATCTTTAAAAAAAAAACTTAATTTATCAACACTTAAAAAATTTGTTAAAAAATATAACCAATTTAAAAAACTTACTTTAGCAGCATCAATGTTACTCATCTGCACTTTTCTACCACTTTCTCTTTTGGTATTCTGATCTAAATTAAAAATTTACATGAAATAATTTAATAGTTTTTTAAATGATACTGATATTTTCACTTGATCCAGTGATATTGTTTTTATGTAGGAACTTTACTTCTGGATATCTACTCTTCAGATTCTCACTCAATGAATTTACATTATACATAATATAATATTATATCTCTTATATGTTTCATATAAATGTTTATTTGTTGTCAAAAACTAAAAAACTAAAAAAAAAAAAAAAAAAAAAAAAACTAAAGTTATTAATTTTTTGAATTTCTTATACAAAATTGCTATGTGTGCAAGTTAGATTCTGAACCAGCAAGATCCAAAAAAAAAATTTTTTTTCATCATTTTGCTCATGATTGACTAAAATAGAGATTTTAATTCATCAAGAGCTAAATAAGTTAGCGCATATCTAAAAGAAAGTTCAATTACAAGCAAACATACTTGTGCTATTTATATACCTAAAAGAAAGTATATTCAATTATAAGCAAACTTTATCTAAAAATAATTGAAACTATATACTTGTGCTATTTATATTTAATTTATCAAATGAGGGCGCAAATTGTGATTTTTTTTGAGCATTTTATTTTGATTTTTAGTATGTTAAAGGGCTTGTGATTATTTGCATAACACAAAAGTTCAAGTATCCAACATTTCATGGCTCTTCATATATGAAGGTTCTGAATTTGCTGATTTATGCCGCTAATTTTAAAATTAGAATTAAATAGCTGCATTTAAAACATTTTAAATACAGTATGAGTAATTAAAAGAGAACTTAACTGATTAATTTAAAAAAACTTTATGTAGTATTTAAATCAAAATACTCTAATTTAAATGCTGGATTTTCTAAGTTTTTCACCCTTGCCCAAGATCCCATATAAAAAAAACATCTATTGTGATCATATTATATTTAAGAATTTTAAGAGCATCAGCTAACTGATGCTCTTAAAATTCAAAAAGACTATTAGTAAAACACAAGCTAAATGATGTTCTGTTACAACTAATAGTATACCTTCTTGTGATCACAACACATTAAAAAGAATAGCCCAAAAGGACAGTAATTCAACAGATTTTAAACTAAATAATAATTGATAAGATGTTTAAATTTTGTGAAAATAATACAAAAACAATCAATTTATGATGGCTAATAAAACAAAATTAAATAATGTTCAATCAACATTCCAATCAAAGTTTACTATGGGAAGAACAATCCAGGAGCAAGATGCTTTCAACGTTTTATACCAATTAACAAATTTACAACTTCTTTTAAAAGAATATGCTGATATTTAGACATTAAACCCCATGCAAACTGATATTTAGACATTAAACCGCATGCACATACCAAAGGAAATGGTTATGCAGCAGATTTGTTACAATCATATAGATTACAACTTGCAAAAATGATAACTTTTGATGGATTGGAAATAAAACCAAGAAAGAGAATTTTATAGATTATAGAGAAATTTTTAGATAGTAGAAGATTATAAAACTCAATCTGTGTTTTTTTCTATTCTTTAGAAATTCTATCATAAAATTCTATTATTCAGATAGTTTAAATCCAAATTTTTCTTGACCCACATAAAAAGATATATTGGGTGCCATCAAATCATAATTTATGTTCGATTGATCTACAAAAAATAATTGAGAAAACAAAATTTGGAAATCATTAAAAAAAATAATCAAGATTTATCAAAAAAAAACATGTACACCATAATTACAATACCATAATAATGTAAAAAAAATGTGTACACCTTATTTAAATAGTAACTTTGCATGTTATTTCTTTAATATATTTAAAAAATATGTATCTATGTATAATTTTATCCTCTATAATTTTTTTAACTTAGAAAGTTAAAAGAGATAAACAAAAAAATCTTTCTGTCAAGCATTATGTATGAGTTCAAGTCAATAATAAGTTTTTTTGTGAGGCAGGGATTTGGAAAAATACCTTAAAAAATTACCTTGATCCCAATCCTAATACAACCAGAATTACCAAAAAGATTTTTAAAAAATTATTTACAACTTAAAAAAAGCTACTTTTGTTTTAAATAAATGAGCAATAAATTTTAAGCCAACTCAGCATTTAAAAAAAATTTATGTAAAAAGCTGTATTTAAAAAAATAAAAAATACAAATTTTTTTTGATTTTTGTTTGCAGTGACGACTTAGAGTTTTTTGAGGCAATAACAAATTTTTTCATGGATTAAAGCAATGAGAAAGGAGGGCCCAAGGGGTCCTTGATATGTTACTTCATGTTATGTTACTTCAGTTTTTAAAAAATATTAATATTTAAACAGAAACTATCAAAAAACAAATATTGTTCATTAAGTGTTTAACAAATTCTTATTTCAATTTTGATTTCGATTTAAATAGCAAATATAAATTAATTCTGTGTTAAATATGTTAAAAAAATCAAGTTAAAATATATATCAAATATAATAAAAATTGATGTTAAATATTTTACTTTTACATAAATTTGAATGTTAAAAATTTAAAAAAATTAAAAAGCCTAAAATAAAATTGAAAACATTAAAAAACTATTTTAATTTGAAAAACCTAAATTAAAACCCTCAGTCAATGTATGTACATTCTGATGCGCCTATGGAAGGCCTTGTTTTAAAGTCTAAAGAGATGCGTCATTTACATACATTTTAAGCCATTTAACGTAAGGGTAATTCCACATCAAATCACCCAAAATTTAGGAAATTTTGAACCATGGTTCCTCAAATTTTTTAAAAACTTCTTTGGCTGTTGCATCTTTAATAAAAAAGTTAAAACATAAAATTTTAGCTAAAAATGTTAAGCGGTTGACAAGATACTGCAATTTTAACATTGACCTGGTTTCCCAAAATGACCCGGTTTTCATAACATTCTAAAAAAACATTTTTTTTAAAAAAAATAAGAAATAAAAATGGCAAAAATATGAAAATAAATATATATGTTTTTTTGATGCTGAATTCAATAAATGTACTTAAAATGCTGAAATATAAAAGGAACATGCTTAAAAGTTAATAAAACAACTAGTTTCTATAATCCAACTTTGGGGCCCAATATCTCAAAACACCCCCGTCAAAAATTTTTTTTTTTTTGCTGTTAATATTTTCAGCTGCTTATAATCTTACTATGCACAAAATATCTAACTGAAAAAACAACTAAAACATATGTAACTTTAATTTTAAAGATATATCAAATTTTCAATAAATTAGTTTAAAAAACTTGCAAAAAGAATTTTGTAAAATATTAAATTTAGTTATATTTAAGGAAGTCTTAATATATAAAGGAAGTCTATATATATATAAAGAAAACTAACAATATCTATCAATGTAAAAAATTATACAACAAAAGGATTCTGAAAAGGTTTGAATTATTTCTATATTCGTTTTTTTTTTACTCAAAATTATGTAGAAAAGAACAATTTTTTCCTTTTTTTTTAGGAAATACATTCATACTAAGTAACTTATTATAAGATGTGTTCTATTGGTTTATTGACATCAGATGAATGTAATGGCCAACAAGATGTTATTGAAACTTTAAGCAATGAAGAAAAAATAACTATATCATTACGCTGTAACATTGAGTTATCAAACTTAACGATATTATGTGAAAGACATACTACAAAATATTTGAAATTGTATCCTATATGGCAGAAAGCATGTTGTGATCTATTCAATAAACATACAAAGAAAATCACAAGTAAATAGATGTAGAATTTAAATATTATATATATATATATATATATATATATATATATATATATATATATATATATATATATATATATATATATATATATATACTTTTTTAATTTGTATTTTCTAAAACATAAACAATGTTTTGAACAATTGTGCAGATAAGCTTTATACAATTCAATTACTTTTAGAAAATCTCATAGTAGTTACAATAAATGAGTCACAAGTCATGATGAGAAGTAGTTTGAATATTGCTCCTGGGAAGAAACTTTGCAAACCTTGTAAGCAAGATTGCCATAAAAAAAGATCTTAAAGAAAAGAAACAAAGCCAGGAACAAGATGAGGATTTTCTAATACCATCATTCAAATCAAAAAGACAGGAGATCAATGAAGAACTCAAAAATTTTAATATATCTCCTCTAAAATCTCATTCAAAGTCATCAAAACATATTCTCTCAGAAGGAAAGCGAAAAATTGCGCGCATCAACGAAATGATAAATAACGTTACTAGAAAAACTGAAAGTCAAGTCAATGTTCCATCAAAACTGTGTTATGAAACAAATAACATGAAAAAGAAAGCTAAAAACTTTGATGAAATTATGAGCTTGATAAAAGAAAAAATTCTATGTTCTGACAAAAGGACGATTGTTCAACTTCTAACACTGGCACCCTTAAGTTGGTCGATATTAGAAGTACAAAATAACTTTGCAGTTACAGAATACCAAGCAAAAATGGCTAGACAAATTTTTAATAAAAAAGGATTGTTAGCTATCTCTCCATTGTATAAAGGTAAAGTCTTACACAAAGAAATAGAAGATTCTGTTAAATTGTTTTATGACTCAAGTGATTTATGTAGAACTATGTCTGGAAAAAAAGATTATGTTAGCATTCAAAAGAATATCCATAAACAAAAAAAACTGCTTTTGTGTAATTTAAAAGAACTATATGTATTATACAAAGAAAACAATCCAGAAATACAAATAAGTTACTCAAAATTTGCTTCACTTAGACCAAAGTGGTGCATTTTGCCAGGTGCAAATGGTACACATTCTGTTTGTGTTTGTTGTTATCACCAAAATGCCATATTGCTAGTAGATGCCTTAAATATTGGACTAAAGTATAAGGATTTACTTTTGAAAACTGTTTGCTCAGTAGAAAACAAAGAATGCATGCTTGCACAGTGTGATAATTGTCCTGGTAAAGAAACCCTCACCAAATATATGTATGAGATTTTCGGAGAATACGAAGATGATTTTGAGATACACTACAAGCAATGGCAAACTACTGATCGTGCAACACTATTGAGTTTAACAGCAGATG